CCCGCCCCCATCCGCCCGCCGCAAGGAACACATGATGAGGCGCAAAAAAAAACCTGCACGTGAGAACGCACGAAATCACAACACCTCACCGCTGTGGCGGCCTTGGGCACATCCGATACCGAGGAGCTCTCCCAGCGCTGCTGCAGCTTCAGGGCGCTTCCCCGTCTCCCGCCAAGAGGCCGCGCCTTTGTTCGGCACGCATTAGCGGAGCACCCGCGGAGCGGCAGGCCTCTGAGTTGGCTACGTGTGTAGATTCCTCTCAGCATGGTGGTGGGTGCGTCTCCTTCCGCTGCTGAGAGACAGAGAGAGAGAGGTCATAGAGTAGGGGAGCACGTGTGTGGGGGTAACAGCGGTGGAGAGGCGGATCGGCTGCGGCTGCTGCGGGTCTATTTGAAGAACATGAAACGCGATTTCAAGCGTCGGTCTTGGCGCTGCGCAAAACGAAAGCCCCCGTTCGTTGTGCATACAACCGCACAGCAGCAGCGGCCTGCAGACACATGTCCGGAAAACGCTTGCCTATCATACACCGCAGTTCCATGCGTTTAACGCCCTATGCAGCAACGCATCACGTGCTTAAGCAGGCACCGCATCTTTGGGCAACACACGGCGTCCGGCCGCTCCGGCGACACGGCTCGTCATGTCCCACATGCATACCACCGGCGGCACTTTCATGCTGGGCGCGCGGGCGCGCAAGATCACCCAAAAAGCAGCGATGCTCGGATACGTGGGATCGAGAGGATCGCGTGATCCGAAAAGCTTCACACCACGGAAAGGAAAGTGTCTTCTTGTGAGGGTTGAACTCTAGCTGCGAACTCGTGTGCTCTGGAGCTCGGCCGCAGCACCAGCACACTCTGAAGTCTGAACAATGGGGCCTGAAGAATAAACAAGACCAAGCGGGAGGTTATTATATGATCATGAAGGACTTTTGAGTTGGAGCCAAAAGATCTGGGCTGTGATTCCCGAAGCATCATGTATCGCCTGCGACTTGCATACCTTCGTCGGTACGGTGGGGATGGAAGCAACCAGCAAAGAAGTTTAGACGTAACCCCCCTGGATGCGAGAGGAAAGGCTATTTAGAGTTTTGAAGGTTGAATGTGGGCGGCAACCAGGTGCGGCGTAAAAAATATAAAACACGAGATGGGATCTCCAAGAGGTTTGCAGGGCGTGCTTCCGAAAATGCGTGCATTCGTGCATGCTGCTTGGCCGTTGGGAAGCAGTAGACGAGACCTGGGAGTCTCATGCGTGCTGCTTGCTTGAATGCTTGGATGCATGCAGGCATCCATCCCTCTGTCCTTGTCTCTCTCTGCCTCTTGCCTGTCTGCTCCTCAATTGGATCATCCAACACGCACTTCCATGGTCTGTGCACCGTGTGTGAATGGATCTGGGGATATCCAACTAAACGTCATCCGTGCCTGGCGCACGGAATTTGGAATCTTTTCAGACTTCATGGATATACGCCCATCGATGTGTTCCGCGTTGCTCATGAGTGAGGTGCTGTTGTGCACGTGTCTCGGCAGAGAGCGAGAGGGAGAGATAGAAGGGGGCAGCCAAGCAAGTTCGAGTTGTCGTCAACGATGATTCTCTTTGAAAAATACAACGCAGCGAGCACCCTACATACGACTAAGTAGAGAGGTGCTGTACCAGGGTGCTTGCAACGCGATACTACACTAACCCGTAAGAATAGACACACACCAAACACACACAGGAGTGAGCCGGCTCTCCCTGTTACACAGTGATGACTACCCTCAAATTGACCTCCGTAATCTGCCTCATATGACCGTGTGGTTTGAGTCCAAGCGCGTTAGACTAGTTCCTCGACTGGTGCCCACTTCCAAAAACAAACCCTTCTGCACACAACCAGTGAACTGGTGTATACTGGTGGAGCGAGAGTGACGCCCCGTCACCTTGGGAAGGGACCACGCATAATGTGTAGTCATTACAGCAGTCAGTATCATCACCGGGGTAATATTGGGAGAGAGCTTGTTGCTCCTTCCGTGCTTGACAGTAGTCATCACACACGCCAACCGCACGATTTTATAAATTAGACTATTCGACTCAAACGAGCACAACAACATTAGCCGGGCGGGAGGATGGGGGGGGGGCGGGGGGGGTACTCAATAGTCGTGCATGTCGTAGTCGTTAGACCATTGACCTCGGGGGGGGGGGATGAACAACGCAACGCAACGAAACACGTAAGCACACATCGCAAGGGTAGAGACAACGTGGGGGGGGGAGGAACGATTCCCCCAAATTCGACCCAAGTATCACCCCTGGCAATATTCTTAGCTCCCATCCCGGCTCACCCAAGACAACGACCAGCAGGGTGGGGCATGACCTGTCAACAAAAGGATGGAATGCTAAAAACAAAAGAACTTTCTTTTCTGGCCGCATCGTCTCGGTGAAAAAATCGCGCCGTACACGAGCGCGATCAGAAACGAGCCCCATGCAACGACATCCACCTCCCTCCCCTTCCCGGTGACACGCAAAGCAGCAGTACCAACACCGCGGTGTCAATAGTTCGGCCCATGACGAACGCGCCACAACGCAAATATTTGAGCCAAACCGGCACCGCGATCCTCTCTCCCTTGGGATCTCTCCAAAAACGACGACCTCAAACAAAAGCAGACAGCAAAAAACGACGACAAAAAAAAACTCCATTCTTTCTCTTTCTCTAGGCTAGGGGCCTAAAAAAAAACAAAAAAGGGTGAATTACACCCGACGACCGAGTACACCACCAATCGCAAAAGAATAAAATTATCGCTGGTGGTGCTACAGCTCGTCATGCTCTCGTGCATGTTGCTGCTTCGGCAAAGATGGAGGAGATTGTCGCAGAACCGTGTCGTACGGCGAGCGCGGCAGCCTCAGGGGCGCCCTGACGAGTGCCGTGGGGCTGCCGTCGTCGGCGCAGAGCAGCCGAACCACCCTCTTCCAAGCCCAGAACTTGACGTGGGTGGAGAACTCGAGGCTTAGGCGGTCCCGTCCCCCGCGAAGGTAGTACTCGCCTGCGACAGGAAATTTCCAGCGGATGTGGCACGTATGGTTATCCGTGTCAACACATGCAGTCTCCGATTTACGCCCACGGGATTGATTTCATCACAGTTTCCAATGCGGCATAGCTGTGGTCCGCTTGTCGTCAACATCCGACTGAATGGTAATCGCAACGGTACAGACCTCAGCCTTCAGTATGCCACAAAATGCGTGTGCTTTGGTAGCAACGGCAACGGAGAGACCTCTTACGTCGCTTCCTTGGGGACTAGTGGCGGTGGTGACATTCCATTCGGGCGATGAAGCATGCAAACATATTTTCGGCCAAGGGAAAGGGAATGCTTGCCTCCACTCCCGTGTACACTGCACAGGGTTCTCCTCGCTGCCGTGGCCGCCGGCAAGAAACTCCAGAACAGCAAAAAACAACAAAAACAACTCACTCCAGAACCACAGCAATCGCCGGAAGCCTTCAAGCACGGCCGTCCCTTCTTTTGCCGGCGACTCGCCGTCGCCGCCGCCGCCGCCGCTGCCGTCAGCCGGGCCAGTAATGGGATGGTGGTGGCAGCAGCCACCTCCACCGCCGCCGCCGCCGCTGTTGCATCCATCCCCTCCGCTTTTACCGACGCTTGAAGGCCAGGCCAGTCCCTCTTTTCCCCCGTCCCCGGCCTTGTCACCATCAAGGTCGAACTCCGAGTCAATCTCTGCCTCTTTGGACACGCCTCTTCCGGCCGGGAGTTTCCGCACCGCATCTAGCACCTGATCGGGAGGAAGGATCGCGAGACAGCATGCGGGCGCGTTGGAGGTTGGAGACGTACAACCATATCACCACCCTTGCGTTCAAGCCGGAGGACAGTGCTAAACGTGCGACAACAGATCGGCCGAGGGGGCGTGATATCTTATATCACGTAAGGTATACACGACCGAGGGGTGCATACACACAACCGCCTGCGATCATCCCTTCCCTCTCTCTGTCTCTGTTTCTCCATCTCTCTGTCTCCTTCACTCTGTCTCTATCTGTCTCTCTGTCGGTCAGTTTGTCTCCGTCTCAATCTAGTTCCATCTCACGCCACAAAACCTCACCTCCGCCAACTGCCCGCGCCGGTACGCGAAGATGAGGATGAGCACGGCCGTGTTGAGGCAGCAGATGTTCTCGTGGTTTATCGTCTCGAGGCTCACGACGCACATGAGATCGCGCACCAACTGAGGGGTGTTGTGCATCAGGAAGCGCTGCAGCCGCGTCATCTCCCCGTTAGTCTTGCTGCTCCCAGCCCCCTCCGCCGCCGCCGCCGTCGCCTTCCGCGGGGCTACCTCCGCCCCTTCTCCGGCCTCCTTGAACTCACTCGTATGTCTATCCTCGCTGTCCTCCTGCAACGGCACCTCCCGCGGCTGCACGTCGTACCAAGTGTGTCCGAGATAGCACGGCTCTTCTTCATCCTGTTCAACCTCAGCATTACCATCACGACCATCGCCGCCACACTCGTGATCGGGGCTCTCCCCGTCGCCCTCTCCTTGCCGGTCTATCTTTCTCGATGTCGCTGCCGGGCCTACACCCGACTCTCCGTCGCTCTCCTCCTCCTCCTCCTCTTCCTCCTCTTCCTCCTCTTCCACCGCCCGCAACTCTTGCCGGGCCGCGCTAGTCTGCTCCACCGATAGAACCAGAGACCGCATAAACACGTTGCTGTCCACGAGGTTGTCCACCATCACCCCCAGGAACCGCCGCAGCTGCTTCTCGGTCATGCTCGCCTCCAGCATTCCAAGAATCTGGAGCAGCAGGCCATCAGGGGCGGCGCGCGCGGGGGGTGGGGGGTGTACTCATAGTCGTGCATGCCGTAGTCATCGACCTCGCATCCCTACAAAGCCGGGACGGAGCACGCCGGGTTCTCACCGGACCAGGCTCTCACATCACCAAGCGCGAAGCGCCGT